AACCCAAATCATCCACAGTCCATATCTAACCAAATCTGGGAGATCATATGTGGGCCATATCCGGCTCATATTGGTCCACAAGAGACAAAACACAGCTGAGTGTTGGTCCACTCAGCTGCAGTCGGCTCATCACGCTAGGCTTCCTCTGAACCCTGCAATCTGTGCCAAGTGCTTTACCTGCAAATGCATCTAGAGCTTTCTTGATGTCATCAGCGTTGAGGATGCTGCTCATTGCCATCTTGGCTGTTGGAGAAAAAGGAGGAAAAAAGACAAGGGAGAGGGAGACAGAGAAAAAGAAGAGGAGGACAGACAGGGGACAAGGTTAAAAACAAGGTCGCTAGAGAGCAGAGAGAGAACTCAGAGACATTCTCGTATTACACCAGTGATTCTCTAGAAATGGAGCAGGAAACCAGGACATGTGAGAAAGAGGAGTGACAAAGGGAGAAAGGGAACGAGGTGTGACGGAGGTGGGGAAAGAGAACGTTACCGTGGCAGAAAGATGCTGAGAGGGGGAGGGAGAGGAGGCTGGTTGTGTTATGGGATGTAGTACAAGGGTCATCAAAATTAAGGGAAAGATTAAACATAAGGGAGAGCAGGACAGAACAGCCAGTGTGGTGTCCATATCAGTGTTTTCCATTTTATCTGTGTGATATCATTGAGCTGTTACAGACGAAAGCAGGGCACAGAGCCAGAGGCCAAGTCAGCAGGGGTTTAAAAGGCCATCTGAGTCTTCTGCTGTGCCTGAAATACCACAGGAGAATTCAGTTTGTCAGCCCAGTCCCGATGGAGAATCTTCTTGTACCTCACGCTATGAAAGGTGAGCCTGGCACTTAACAGCGCTTTGGCTTTTTACTCTGCGTGTGTGACTGAACCTGATCGCTGCTTATGAAGTTGTCACCTTCCCCCCGACTTTGACTGATGTCCTCCTCTCCTCTGTTGCAATTGCAAACACATATATGTATACACTTGAAGCTGAACACGGAGAGGCAAACACACACAGAATCTCCAAGCAAGCAGGGGAGGAATAGTTAGGAGCTAGGGTGTTGAGAAGGAGTGAGTGACATGTGGATTAGAGGATGCAGTGCTCTGATTTCAGTTTGCTCATTGTTGTCTGGCAAACCTTAATATGGATTTGCCTCAGACCTTCATTATTTCAAGAGTGTATGACAGATGACTGACACTTCACTCAGGACATCGACTCAAATCTCACCTCCACCCAAGTGAATGCATAGACAACTTTTCTCTTCCACAGAAATCAGTTTATGAATATATTTGAGTTGAAAATAGGCCATTCAGCACTTACAGTATTTTTAATAGTAGCTCAACAGTTTCCAGAGTTTTCACGTGTGGCAAATCACATCTTTATTTATAAACAGATTGCTATATGTTCCAGCCTCCAGCTGTCAGGCTCAATGGGTTCTCAATGGATGTTTTCAAGACTAACTGGGAATCCATATCAAAAGTGTGATAACAGTAAGCACTGGAGCGTCAGCTCATTTCAACCAACTCTGACTTACATTCAGTTGTCAGTGTCCTCAGAACTGGCTGTCTTTGGCCAACAATACTCAACAGGCTGACCATCAGAAATGCAGCATGTCTCAGCATCAGTGTAGGTTGGTACATTTGATAAAATGGCATCTGTCTGTGTATCTGTTCTGTGAGTCGGGCAAGTGTTAAACGTCTTTCTGTGTGGATTGCCTGTTAAGAGTCTGCTAACATTTGCTAATGAGTGCTAAACCAACCACCGTAAAAGTCCCCATGCTGCCTACAAAAGGTGAGGTGAGGTATATAGGTGAATAATTACTTCAAAGTTGTCTTTTGAGGTTTGAAATTGTAAAGCAAATTAAGTGAAGTTACCTAAACTAAATATATTAAGTTGAATCAATAATTGAGAAACATTTATGGCACAGATTTGCTTCCCATTTACATTTTCTCAGCTTAAAGAGTCAGTTCTTTATTTTATATATGAAGAAAATGTGAATGTTGCTGAAGCCACTTTTTGCCAACATTAGTACAAAGACATCTTTGGAGGCTGCTACCACTGATCTTAACTACTGACTACTGTGACTATAAATATATGGGGGACTGATCATGGTTAGCATTGTTTTAATTTTTACGTATAAAAAGAAAAAAACATGACCTATATACTGAAGACACAGGAAGTTTCCATCATGTATATTTTACAAGAAAGAGGGATCTCTGGACTGTTAAGTTTGTGATAAAACAAAATATTGGACCAGCTGATGGTGCTAAATGAAAAGCCAGGGGAACACTGAAGTTATTACAGTAGTGCACTGACAGACCATCATAGCCATCCATACAGCCACGCTGCCAGCACGGCAAAAACAACTAAACTTAAGAGATCTGTCTTTTCAAGGCTCCTCGGACCTTGTGAAGGAGAACTCACTGTAAAATATATGCCCCAGGGGTCTTATACCTCCTTGGATACAAATACACACAGATACTTAACACTTCTTTGTCTGTGTGGGTAGCTTACTGTAAACGGATGGAAAATCTTTTAACCTTGTAACTGTGATGCTGATGCAAAGTATGGAGACGTGAAATGTCACATATAAAGGTCACAATAATGACACTGAATTACCATCATCCTGTGTTCCCTCTGAGCAGCACATAATGCTGAGCTGGCCAATATCATGGCTCTGTCCTTCTCAGTGGAAATACAGTCTGAGTTGCCTGTACATTTCCACCTATTACAAATCACTCATGCTACAGTATTTTGCTGCATCATGCACATTCAAACTACTCTAATATCATATACTTGATCTGTCACAATGTGGATTTATTAGGCACAGAAACAACACTGTTATTCATATGGGTTCAATTGTAACCAGTCTAGGATATTTGTGTGGCTAATTCATGGGGAAGTGACCTGTAAAGACTCCTTAAATCACATTTCATAGAAGATGGTAAATACATCCACAGTTATACAATTATAAAATTGATCCTGGCTATAGATCTTTGAACTACTCACAGATAAATGATAAACACTATTTGAAGTAGTTTGTAGACTTCTTTCATTGGTGTCACACTCAGTGATGTATGAGCTTCTTTTGAGGTATGGTGTTATCTACTTCCGTAACATACTGCTGCACACACAGATCAATACTGAACACAGCTGAACTTGTGTGGCCACACATTCAATCTTTTATCATTATAAAAGCACAACCTCCTTCTCTGACCTTTACCACAAAGGTGTCTGTGGGGAAAAGAAACAATTCACCGTGAAACGAGGAGGATAAGATTGATTTACTGAGATATCTCAGTCAGTGTGCTGCCAGTGGAACTGTATAAAGTATGCCACATTGATTTATTTGAAGCAAAGTATAAAGACCAATTGTGACAGTGCTGATCTATTCTCTGTCTCTGTGGACTTTTGATCTCAGTCAATTATCTGAAATGCTTTGCCTTCTCTCGTTCAGCTAGTTAAACCTGAACTAATTTTGTTTTAAGCCACATGGGGGCAGTGGAAACAACACTGGGATATCTTCACCTTGACTTGGCGAAATCTTAGCAAATAGTTGCTAATCTACACATCCAGCAGTTATACAACATTATCATTCATTTGGAGTTATGCTTCTGTTCACCTAATCAACATAAGTTCATTCTCTTTTAGCTCTGCTTTTGGTCTACACCAGCTACTGAAGGAAAAATGCTTCACTGTGTTCACCAGCTAGTCTGTATCTGCTGAACAGGTAGTGCTGAGTGGGTTTTTAGAGCTTTTTGATGAAAACAGCTGCTTGCTCTGGCTGAAAAGGAGCTGAAACTCACTATTAAGCTCTATAAAGCCAAAGGGAGTAGCAGATTCTGCTAACAATCCTCTATCACATATCTTCCTATTAAGGCAATATTTTTACATTTTGGGAAATATATCTAATTGCTTTGACATTATTAATTTGGCAGACATTTACAGACATACATATCAGGAGCAATTTGGGCTTCAGTATCTTGATTTGACAGTTAGACAGGAGTGTTTATCTGAAATGTATAGGACAAAGTTTTTTTCAATCAAGTCAAGGCAGTGTAACTGCAACCCATAATGTTTTTTAATTTAACTTTTAATAATCATAGTTATGTTTACCCTTTTTAAACCCCCATCTGATTAGGTGTGATATGAGCATCAATCAGACTCCACCAAGGTTATCTGCTGTACTGCACTGCTGATATAATGCCTGTATTGTTTAGTTGTTGCCATCGTCTATAACCACTCTTTGCTAGATAAAATGTTTCGACTCCAGTAGTACTGCATGCCCTTGCATTTTTCCCCTTCGTCTTTACTACACTGATTTGTGTGTTCTCAAAACTCTGTCCCTGAGGTGTGCTGTTTACTTCAAATCAACATTTTCATGACTGAAGCAGAATGCTGAGGCAAGATATAATACACAGAAAGTCTGCTCAGGACTCTCCATCCAAACGAGAAAAAAAACGTTCTGAAGCTGACACAAACTCTGGATTTCTCAGTATGGATCAATTGCTCATCTGTGGCTTTTATTAGTTTGTGCTACAGTAGTTAATCAAACATATTTTCAATAGACAACAGCAATGACATCTTTGCATAAAAACCTGAGAAAATGTACATTTATGTGCATTTACTGTATATGCGTTCATTTGTAAAGTAACACACGCCTGAGCATGGAATTGCCATTTTGGAGGGGCCACAATGTTTTTACTCAGAGCAAAAGGATTTAAGGTTGTCAAGTTTATTTAAAAAATAAATACTTTAAAACTGTTGAAGATAGGAGTCCACTTATTTAGAAAACAGTTAACTGAAGGTGCCTCATAAAAAAAGGAATAAGTTAACAATTTTATACATAAAATTTGAGCTTTAAAGGTTCCTCCAAGATGGTATCCCTCTTACATGAGGGTGAACGAGCCGTTTGATGTAGAATAATACAGTAGAGGTAAAACTGGGGTTTCCCTTGTCCCCCTCACCCTGATGGTCTCTCTAGGTGTGGGAAACCTAACCACGCTGCAGGGCTGCCAACTCCCCAGTCTACTGTAACAGCTGCATGAAAGTGTGAATATGTGTGTGTGCATGCAAGTGTTTAGGGTGCCAAGCAGGCTAGGGTGAAAGGCTTAAAGAAGAATGTACTTGCATTTTAAGAAACCCGAGTCCCTTATGTGCTTTTGACTGTTGTGTGTATGTTTGTAGGGGTGAAGCAGAGAAAGTGTGTATGTGTGTTAAATAGAGCGAGACAGTTGTGGGAGAAAGAAAAAAAGAGAAACATACTGCTGAAAAAAAATATGCCTCCACAATATCATTGCATGCCGTTTGTGAACTGGAGGTGAACTCTTGTCCTCTACAGAAATAGGCTTTGATGGTATTGTGTGTTGAGTTGTTTTTCCCCCTTTATGCTGGTGTGTCAGTGCACTGCAATGATGCATTTGACAATGAGCATTGTTTGGTGGAATCATTGTTTTTATGCGACTCATACACCCTTGGAGCTTTCTGCTGTTTTAGGTTTAAACCGAGGTCACCAATATTGTGATTTCTTTTAAGATGAATGACTGAATAAGAAAGACAAGGACTATGTAATTTCAATAAAAACAAAACTGTAATTGAATTTAGTTATTATTTTTCCCAGATAATAGATTTACCTTTCTTTATCTAAGGGAGCTCTAAATTTTTTTGAATTACACTGTAAGAGGAACAGAAAATATTGAATTGTACTATATACTCTGACTGTAATATGATTTTTATGGACACTTTACCTCTTTCATAATCTAATGTTTTCAATAAATCTCTAGCCTTTCTCCAAGAAGCCTTTTACTATTATTGTAATGTTTGTTTATAGGTGAAATACAGTACTGTGTTTGAGTGCCATTTGAGGGACTCTAATCCAAAAACACTGTAATATGAGTGCAAACTATTTTAATATTGGTGGTCTCCATTAGAAGTTGACTTCTATCTGTGAGTTAACAGAGAAGCTCAAAGTAACTAAAAACCTGAAATGGTGCTATAGTTGCACCATTAATCAGAAGAATATAAATAACAGGCCAATTTCCTGAATCAAAGGGGCCCCAGTGACTCTTTCTCCATAAAAGCTTTTTATCTGAATTGCTGATCTTCAAAAAAGCTTGATGGTTGAATGTAAGCAGAGTTATCTTTTCAGAGTGCATTACATTGTCTATTGATTTTATGGAGAGGCTGATAGAGAGAGGGTGTACAAGGAGTGCAGGGCTGCCCGGGGATTGTCTAGCTGTTATCACCACTGTCCAATGTCTAATCCTTTGGCAGGTACAGGACAGGGTAGCTTAACCACACAGTTACAGCTTGGCAACAACAGTAGTCGTGTGTGTGTGTGTGTGTGTGTGTGTGCTCATAACGCTGCTGTATTTTCAGTTTCTTTTTTTGGCACTTCTCCTTCACATTATCATTTTAGTGGTTTACTTGGTTGTAATCTAAAAGGGCCAGTGTGCAAGATTTAGTGGCATCTAGTGGTGAAATTGCAGATTGTAACAAAACAACCGCTTGCATCTGTTTTTGATTGAATTGTGTAAGAGAAATGACGGTGGCTACGAGAACCCGCGAAAAACGCAAAAAGGCCCTATCTACAGCCAGTGTTTGGTTTGTGTCGATTCTGGACTACTGTAGAGACATGACAGTTCAACATGGCGGACTCCATGGAAGATGACAGTAGATAAAAACGGCTCATTCTAAGGTAATGAAAACACAACAATTCCTATATTCAGGTGATTATACACTACTGAAAACATATTTATGAATATTACATTCCATTTCTGCCTAGATCCTTCCAAATGTTACACACTGGATGTTTAAACTCTGTAACTGTTCATATGGTATAAGAGTCAACAGCTGCAGCTCTATTAGCATGTTAGCATGCTAACCGGCCAGCAGTGGTCTCACTCACATCAAAATAATAACAACATTTTTTATTATTTTTAGTAGTTTGATGATTTAGTGAAGTACTGTTGGATCGTGGCAGGATCATTGTTAAACACCCACCAATGCTGATCTGACGTGACTCGGGCAAAAATCACAGATAAGGTAAATTTAATTCACCTTGCATTTAGTCTTGTATTTAGTATTCTAGCCTTGTATTTAATTTGCTCTCACTCTCTTCTGTTTTACCTGAAAGATATAGCACCTAGAAACCAGTCAGAAACATACCGTTACCAGTATAAAATGAGGGGTTCCTCTGGGTTTGAACATTGTTGGAAACATTTGGGATGATGTCAGAGCACAACTCACCAACATTTATAACAGGTCTAATTGTTTTTAGACATTTTATTGTGTAAATGTTCCATATTATACATTTAGGATAAAGTACAGCTGAGACTGATAGGAATATCTTTTTTGGGTCATAAACCCAAGTTTTAACCTATGGCATTGGAGAAAGATTCAGGGAATCACCAATGTTGTATCAATCAATCATAAATGTACCAAACTTATTTGCAATTCTTCCAATAGCTGTCAGGAAAAACAGAAAATGTCAACCTCATGGTGGCGCTAGAGAAAAAGTTGGGGATCACCAGTATTCATCTTCTGGGGACATTCATCTTCTGGGGAAGATGAATGTCCCGCCACATTTCATGGCAATCCATCCTGTAGTTGTTGATATATTTTACAGCCAGTCCCTAGAGCCAGGTTGCTAGCATGACTAAAAATGTATGTGAGCGTAAACGTATGAAATCTTGCTGTGATTACAGTCTCCCACCCGCTGACAGTAGGCACCACTAAAATTCATAATCTAATAAGGTCACAAACTCTAATGAGATGGCTTTGCAAAATACATATGTGATGGAAGCAATCTTAAGCATGCAGACCCAACACACATTTGCATAAAATATTAGAAAACAAATTAAAGATGTAAATTCCATTTAATCTGCCATTGAAAGCAACAGCGTTAAGAGTGTTAAAAGCATTACATATTTCATTGTGACACACAAACAAAATATTATGCGTCCCCCTCATTAATTAACTGAGACTGCATTCACTTAAGTATCATTCTGTCTATGAATATTGATGGTATATAATGCTACCCTGTGAGTAGATGGAACATATTTTAAATCGGTGATCAGCCAAAGTGTCAGAAGAAAATTATTCTTAAGAGAAACTTCATGCCTTTTACTGCATCATGCAGCATTTTGACAAAGTTACGTTACCCTGGAGCCCGGATTGTGACTGTATTCAATCTCATTAGGTGTAATTAAAATTTGACCTTGACAGAATATCACAAGTAAGCACTGCGACAAAAGTACGCCTGTGCCTCTTATTTTGGCAGCAAAACGTTGCTATCAGAAAGTAATTACCTTGTTGATATACTGTCTCTGTATTTAAATGTAATCTCGTTCTATAAAGGAGCCTGTAAAATAAAGTAAATTGCATTTCTTCACACGTTTCTCTGCCACCTTTGCTATTAGTTTCATATATCACTGCATTTGATCACAAAGTAACATCAAGAACTGTAGAAATATGTAAATGTCAACCATACACTATCAATATTGTCTTTGTTAACATCCCTCATCATAAAACTTGTGATCTGCTGCAGGCAGTACACTTAAACATCAAGGTTCGTCTGTCTGTCTCTGGCAAAGCTTTACAACTCTATACAATATTATCATTTTTTCTTCATCTTACCTGTTTGCTAGCTGACGGATGTTGAGGTGGGAGAAGAGCCAGATAGGTGCGAGAGGGACGTCCGGTAAGAGAATAGAGGCTCTGCTCTTTCTGTTTTATACGTGTCCTCTCCAACTATTTTGGGATGAAAAATGGACGCCCGGTTCAGCGTGGGGTCAGTGGTGTTAGGCTGCCATGCCGACCTGTATCGCTTTCCTGACTGCACTCATGCTAATCAAACATTGCTATTAATAATCATCAATCTCCACCTCTTATAGCGGCCAGACTTATTTTCTTATGCTCACCCTTTCTCGCCCCTCCCTTCCTCTGATACTCCCTCCTTCTTCCTTCCAGCCATTTGATTTCTCCACCTCATTTTCTCCCACCTCCCACCCGAGGGACCTCGCTCTGTCCTCTAATCCCCCTCTGATCTGATCTCTCCCCTTTTTCTTTCTTCTCTCTCTGTCTCTCGTCTCTTAAACTTTTAATTTTCACTTTTAATTCTCATCTACCTTTTTCTCCTTTAAGGCATTCAGCATCACGAGTGACAAATTACAAGGCCCAGACCTTTTTTCTCTCGCCATAATCTAAAATATTATGAAGATTGTGGTAATCTAAACAAAGCCCCTTTTCACTAATTATTATACTCGACATGTTACATTAGTGCAATTGTCCGATCACTAAGTGCCACTTCTCTTAGTTGCTATTGCTTTGCCTGTGAAGAATTCCATTCTTGCGTGGTGAAAGCAATATGTGCAGAGATCCAGAAAACCTCCATGGTCCACCATGCAAGCCACAATGCCATTGCAGACAAAAAAATTTGCAAGGGGCCCCATTGCTCTTCATCACTAACCCCAATAATAAAACACTCAGGCCGTGCCTATACATCCATCTGGGACAGTGGAGCACTCCCTGCCCAGGAATACTCCCTGAGGCTCACTTATAGATGTAAAGTGATTATAGATCACAGCGAACATCAGCTGTTTACACATTATCGGTAATATTGAAGAACCTCTCACGCTGACCTTTAGGAAGCACTCGTTGCGAGAGGCCGATACGAGACATAAGGACTACTGTCTGTACGTGAAAGCTATAAACAAGTTTTCTTTGGAGGGATACATTTGTATGTTCTTGAGCGTGTGTGTTGGACTGTGGGGAATGGTGTGAGTGTGTATGAAACATTAAAACAGGGGCCGGTGTTCCCTGCTGTGGAACGACTTTCGGACAACAGGTGGTATTATTTTGGTTACTGTCAAGGTATTGTATTTATAAGACAGCTAGCAATTGTATGATGGATGTTTTATTGGTGTTGGATGTTTTTTCAGACAGAATCATTTTGAAAGTAGCAGAGATTTATTATGTTTGCAAGTTAATCCTGACATGGGTTGTAGAAGCTCCTATATGCTTGTTTTGTTTGACACTGACCAATGACCTATTTATCATTTAGGTGTATAGGACTAGTTGAGCTGCCTAGCTCTATAAAACTTGCCTTTTACTCTATTTCTCTCTGTCTCTTTCTGTCCTCTGCTCTATTCCCTTTAGCATAACTGCACAGGGACATCACTCCCAGTCCAATTCATAAACCTTCCCCTTAAATCTAGAAAAATCCTAAATCTTTTTAACCACTCCATTCCCTTTCTTGTTCATCTCTCCCTCAAACGTTTTTATCTAATTTCGATGCAATCTTGTGAAAAATGTTTCTCTCCCTCCTTCTATCCATTTGCTGGTACGCTCATCAAAAATTATCACCTTCTCCAACCCCCTCACTGCAGCCAAAGGGCCGTAAAGGGAGTTGCCTTGATCCCATGATGTGCCAGGACGCTCCTTGCAGTTCTCTCTTGGCTGACAAGGGGCTCAGCAGGGGGTACAGGAGGGAATGAGAGAAGGAGGTGATGGAGTAGTGAAGCCGGGGGGGAGATAAAGGTAGATGATGAAAGGGGAGAAATTAAAAGAGAAATGCTGACAGAGCAAAAGACAGGTAAAGAGGGAGGGATGAGGGCAGTGAAGTGGTAGAGGGCTCGAGGTCGAGAATGGATCTCACCAGGGAATGCCAGTGTTAGATGAGTCATGGACAGGGGCACAGGATAGAGACGAGAATGCAAAATGACTGAAAATAAGGAAGAGAAAATTCTGATCATGGGACATTTTTTATCTCACCCAAAGTCTGCATAGCTATGGCCTGACAAGGAAAACCATCAGGGGTTGCTACTGAAGACATAATGGAAAACTTTCACAGACAATTTTATTCTTCTATTCCCTTATCATTGGCAACTTCTCCTAGCTAAACAGCATCAGAATCTCAGTCCCATTTGCCACACGGCTTTAAATGATTTGATATGATTTTATCACTGTCATTAAAAAGACTTTTGGCTTATGTAATGCCTTATGGTATTCCCATTCATAATGGTTTGTTTGAGATAGTTTCAAAGGGATATGTGAGTTAGTTGCATGATGACTGACTTATTCATATGGAAAATTACCACCTTGCACAGTGGTTCATTTACAGTGTGTGTTTTGCCATTGGGGATTCCTTAGCAGTCATGCAAACCATCACCAGATCTATTGTTAATCACACAAACAAGCACTGCTCAATCTGGAATTCTCCTGAGGGTATCTCACTCAGTTTGTTATTCAAATGATAATCAAGTATTTGTGGTGCAGAACAAACGTGTAGTTATGCTATACACTAATTATTTTTCAAAATTGGATGCATTGCTACTCCAAGTCCAGCACTGGTTTTGAGTAAAACATGAGATAACTTAGAACTAAGGGAAGTTAGTCTTGGGATCAACAAAGAGGATAAGATATGAGGAAGAATTCCAGGGAGGAAAAGAATAGAGAAATAGTGATGCTAATAAGAAAAGGCAGGAGACAGGAGAGAGAGATGCCTTTGAACTTGAGTCCAGGTAAGCCAACTTAATGCAGACACATTTTGAACCGATTTGCGGGTAGCATATAGAGAATTTATGTTCCCAGCCATCATGCACATTTTAATTTTGTGTCCCAAAAAACGATGCATGTATATGGCAGAAATCTGAGAAAACACCTAAACATCACAAAGTGCATCAGTCTTCTCATTTTAACCTTTTTCTCTTCTCTACCCTGCACACTCTTCTATAGAAACCTTTTGAGGCCATTTTTGTCTTCCTCAACTTGTCTGTTTTCATCTTTTCATGATTTGATGTCTGTGTAGATATGACAAGCCACTGCCATTCTATGCAGATAATACTTAGCTCTACATTTCCTTCAAGAATGTATCTTAGTATGCCTGACAGAAATATATTTATCATCCAGGACCTCCTAACTCTTGGGGTTATCCTTTACAGCAATCTAATTATATAAAAGAAGGTGTAGTATCATATGAAATAGATCCTAGCATTAGTGCACAGGTAATATTGGATTATACCAACTATATACCTGACACTTCATTTGTGATTCAAATATTATCTAGAGGGTGAGGCTGCTGTTTGAGGGCATCAATTCCCACCTGAATGTCACTAAGCAGAGGACACTGTTTGTCCTTGCAGGCTGTAGCTCCTGCCTAAACAATTAAATTACACCAGTTACCAAGTCCTGAAACAATTTTTTGAGGCACAAGCATAATTCTGCTTTTCTCTTTCCCAATTTAGAAAAATGTTCTATTAGCAGTTTGATAAACAACAATCAGTTTTCAACTATTTAGTCCAATTACTAGTTGAATAGAATTCCTTGCATAAAAAAGACGCATGAGTCAGATGCTGACTCATTAAGAGGTTCACAATATTTATCGCTAGCTGCTTGACTTCCATTCAAAACACTGATATTACCCTGTACTCACATATCACTGCACTGATTCAACTGCACATTGGCTCCTCACCTTGTACTTGACTATTATACATACATTAATAAGGCAGTTGTGATTCATCAGAATACTGGTACAGACTTCTTTTATCAATGTTGTGGCACTTATTGTTTATATAGCACACTCAATTACCAGACTACTTATCCTGTTAAAAATGAAGAACAGTAGATTTACTTATTTTACTGTTATTTCACTCCAATGTTCACTGGCTAAGAACATCTGCTAAATGCCTAAATAGCATCTTTCTCATTTAATGCTAAATTAATAAGACAGAATAATGTGATGTTAGTATTTGTATGTAAGTATGATCCAGAAACGTTTCACTTTGGCACGACCGGAGCATGGGAAGACTTTTGAATTTTGCACCTGTTGCCAACATACAAAACATAGTTCAATACACGTATAATATTGTTTCATGTTTTTAAAATATTTCAGGTATTTTTACCAAACATAATGTACAATTATAGTATTCTGAAGATTATAATGTTTAGTTATAAAATTTAAACATTTGAATAATATATGCTCACATACCAATCGTCTAAACATTACTAAATTTTAATTAAGGGCCGTTTTGGAGCAGAAAGATTATTGCTTAGCTGAGTCAAAGGATCTGGCTCACTAAAAAGAGCCATAATTTCCATCGCAAATATAATGGGGAACTGATGTACCAGATCTTTGACGTCAATTGTCTTCAGCACTGTGCAGTTTGTCTCCACACAGCAGAAAGACTGAAAATTATGCATTGAGAACAAAGTTCCACCATCAGCATTTTTTGACAAGGTTTTGCATTGAGATAAAGTGTGCTTGATTTATTTAGTTTAGAGCAGCAATCAAGTGCTAAAGTTTGTGCAGCTGTGACAGGCTTGATGGACACAAACATGATAGAGGTCGAAAGACATTAGAAAGAAAAAGATTGGACAGAAAAAATGCTGGTGTAGAGAGTAACTTAAGTGCAACAATACCCAAGTACTTTTGAAGCAAAAAGCCTTTATATTTAAAGCATGCTCTATTTTGATGTTGTGCTTGAATGAAAATAATTTCATGAGTCATTTGGGGATGGTTCAGTATTCCAATAGTGATGTGAGAAACATTTTACATTATACTATCAACAAATCAACTCTATGTGTTGTCAGCCACCGCAAGGAAATACAAAATCCATTTAAACAAACTGAAGGTAGGGAATATGTAAATACGTAAAACACTTGACACTTTTTCTAAAGGTATCATGACACACACACACACACACACACAGGCAGTGTCTTTGTAAGAGACAGACAGAGAAAAAAAGAGCAGTTATATGGCATCATCTTTGTCCTCCCCCTACACT